CAAACAACTTGATTTTTATGGAGAAACAAACAAAACAAATAAGTTAATCATAAAAAAAGCAACGACTCTTACCTTTTAACCGTTTGAAAAAGCTATTGATAAGATGCACTAGATCTCTCTAATCTTCTTGTCAAGCGTCTTGGTTTTTTAGAGTTTGACGTAGGTTTTCTAGTTTGACGTATACATATATTTATACGCTTAAATTTTGATTAAAATAATAAAAGATTAGGATAAATCTGAAACAGTTCTTATTATCAATGAAACAATAATATATTTCAATCGTTATCAATAGAATATTTTCTTCACATATGACATACCACGTTTATATGTGGTCGTAGTAAAGATTTTTGAACATGTTACGGCCATGTTATTTGGTTATAAAACTGCATATGTATGTATATGTGATCAATTCATGTATCAGCCATCTGTTCTCTTTTCCTCCTCTCTCTTCATTAACTTTATACTAGTAATACTTTCTCTCTCTCTCTCACGCACTTTTTCTTTGCAACACCACCATTATCCCATACATACATGCTTCCACAAGACTCAAACTCCATAGCATGGGATTCTCACGGTGGATGAGATCTCCGACTCACTCTACTCACGCCCTTCACTCCTCACCAAGCTCACTAATCATTACTTGTATCTCAAGAAAGATCTCCAATGACACCAAAGTTCCTCGAACTCACTCCATTCTTCAAGCCCGTCCGTTAAAGGACTCTTTCTTCCTTTCTCTCTTCCAACGATGAACAGATCGTATTCATTTGCAATAGATTCAACAGTTCTCATGTCTGAGACGCGTCATTCACTATTTCGTCGGTGAAGATAAGGTCGGCACCGGCTAGAACGTTGCTCTTCACGTCTCTGAGCAGTTCTAATGAACAATGCGTAGATGTGTATTGTTTTATAAATAGAAAAAGAGAAAAGAAAAGAAAAGAAAAAAAATCACTTTTAAAACTCTTCCAAATATCACTATAGGAGGTGTGATTTTCAACATGTCAATTTTAGTTATAATTTGCTTTTGAAATCATCTGAAATCGTTTTTAGAATAATTGTATTATGAAATCCCAGTTTTCCAATAACATGATATTTGAAAAGATTTTAATAAATGATTAATTGAATAACGTTAGATTTGGAATAATTTTAACAAATAGTAGATGCAATAAGATAGAATTTTAATAGATTTTATAGAATCACCAATCCAATAAGCAGAGATTGTTAAAAAAATTAAAATCATCCTAAATCACTGATTCAATATGCCCCCCTTAGTTATTCTTTTCATGCAAACCAAGTCACACCATTCATCTTATCATCATCCTTTTGCTCTGTGATTGAAGAAATCTTATCAACCAATCACACCATTCATCTAAAACGTTCGTTGGTTTTATGTAATTGTTGCAAAATATATCAAAAGAAATCTAATTAAGATAAATGAGACACTAGACCAAAAGATATAACATAGTGAGTTTTTTATGTTATTGTTGCAAAATATATCATCGCCAAAGTTAAAAGATATAAATATTTGTATCTGTCTTCACGAATATAACGGCACAATGATAATGAAGGAACTTAACACACACACACACACACAAATCTAGATATAAATTAATATCTTTTAACAAAAATGAAAGAAAAGAAAAAGAAGGAGAAAGTAAAAAATTGAAAAAAAGAGAAAAAAGAATGAAGAGGCAGAGGGAAGTCACGAGAGTGGAGGAAGAGAAAGGCAAAGGCATGGAAACTTACACGTGATGTGGGCCTTGACGCACCACGTGTTTACGGCCCATTTTCTTCACGCCTATTGGCCCACCCTTTATTACGTTCCATCCTCCTTTCCTTAGAAAAACGTGTCACCTACAAAAATATCTTCTGATTTTAACGGTCGTATAAAATAAGCAAAATATATAGAGTTTCAATGGCGTAATCTATTCAAGTATGAAATATATGCATAGCTCAAGTTGTTTTTGATGTTTTGATTCTTGATATATATGTATCCAAAACTAAATTTACTTAAATCTCATTAATTATAAGCTTTTTTTGGGGTAAACATTTGATAGCATATGAGTTTACCAAAAAATCTTATAAGAGCCATATTAAACTCAAATTTATTTGAATACTATATATATAAATAAAGCCATAAACTCATATACTAATACGAGATGGCAGTGATCGAGATCTTGAAATATTATATAATGGAGAAAAGAGCCGAGGCAAAGAGACGGGTGAGACCGTTTTTGCCATCGAGAACCACACTTCTCTTCTATGCTTTCCCCAATAAAATCCATTTTTTTGTCTATTTCTTTTCCATTTCTTTAATACGATTATTATGCTTTAAGCTTGATTAATTAGTTTAAAAAGAGTAATTAGAAAGTAAAAAGAGTTTCGTCGGCCGGTGGAGATTTTTGAAGAATGTTAAACCGATGATGCCGACAAACAAACTAAATAGTTAAACCGATTAATGTGTTATCTCAATCGTCGTCGATTGCATGGTATACCAATCTTATCCTCATTATCGATGAAATCCCAAAAATATTATAATGAAGTGGAAAATGTTGATGTCTTACGTTCATTTTCAACGAAAATGATATTATATAGTTTGTTCTTATTATTATTTATCAGGTTAATATAATATTTGCATTATAATAATTTTATATACGTAGAGAGAGTTTCAAAATGGTTCAGAGTACTTCACAGAGTATATATCCAAAAAGAAGGGCAAGTGATGGATGCATCTGAGAAACAAGTTTGGATCTCGTGAATCACTTCACATCAAATACATCTCTATTAAATATTTTGTAGAGTAGTGAATACAAACTAATGTGATAATAGTACTTATGCTTGGAGACAATGTGCAACTCCTGAATCGAGACGCTACACCTACATGTATAGAGATGTATAGATCTTGGAATCTTCTTCATTTTTAATATTTTTTTGCTTGCATGTACTACCTTAATTACTCTTGTCGGAACTCCCAACCTAAACTCAGTCGTTGCATCTCGTTTGTATTTTGTTTTAATAGTATCTATTTCATGCATTGGACAAACATTATTTTCTTGGCACGGCGGTGAAATAACAACATTATCGTAAACGAAGCTATCTGTATATATATTTAAGACAAAAATGTATATATAAGCTTTTGAACGATCTCAATATACACATACAAACGAACTGACACATTAAACTAGTTTCAGAAAGTGGTACGGTAAGCAAAGTAGGAAGCTAGCTAGTTACATTGGTTTTTTTTTACTATATTATGGATACTCTTTTTCTAGAGAAGTAACACGTCGATGCATATATACTAATTGTAAGGGTTTTTTTTTTGTTATAACCAAACGATATGCTAATTTGTTTGCAAAGTGTGCAAAGGGCTTAATTAATTAACGTAAAAAATGAGCAGACAGGATAAATTAGTTTGGGAAGCGAGAATCACGCTTCAATATAGAGACCGAGATTGAGATGTATAATGGAACCAACCAGCCACGTTGAATCATATCACTCCTATGGATTTGTTTTTGGCTTTATTAATTCAATTTATCTTTATTTTTCATTCAATCTATTTACAGTATAAGTTTATTGCTTTATTGGTCATCGCATTAATTCTCAAACAACGTAATAACAAGGTATCTCTCTAGTCCATGTGAGCATTTCAAGATGACTGTGTATATAAAGTTCTGTCGAGAAATTAAAAACGTACAAAAAAAAATGGTTTTATTGTGAAAATATCATGTTAGTGTAAATAATGGGTTTTAAATTTAATTTAATACATTAAATGTGGTAACTAACTCAACTATATTTGTTTTTTTTATCGTAGCTTAAACTACATATAAAGATGATGGCAAAAAATATACGTACCCTTTCATGTAGTATTAGTGTTTGCAATAAACTCAAATAAATATATCAACTAATGTGAAGTATAAAAATCAATGGCACTAAAGTAATATTCATAAATATAAAGTTGTATATACAGCCTTTAACAAAAAAAAAAAATGTACAAATCTTTAATTTTAAAGAACAAAAACGAGATAGTCCTTCAATCACTTTCGAAACAACACGTTAACATTTGAATAAAATGCAAGGATTTGTCTCTTTCTCCTCTACCAAAAAAAAAAATACGTTAACAATTTTTTTTTAATTATATATTTATATCTATTATTCATGGTATTTGTGATAATTTCTGCATTTTCCCTAAAATTCTCTGTATATTAAAAGGAAAAGGAATTTACCCACAATTGTACTCAACACATTTTTTTGTTTACTATTTTATTTGCCAAACACTTTTAGATACAAAATATATAAACTTATTGTAATAAACTTAATTGTCTCAAAGTTTACTTTTTCTTAAACTAGAAACAAAAAAATCTAAGAAACCATGAATATTATGTCATTTTAAAATGAAGTATATTATGTAACAATTTTTTAAAAAACAATTAACCAATAAAAAGTTAAAAACACTGTAAACTACAAATAATCATAACATATTAGATAAACATAAATTATGCATAAATATTGGAGGATTTTTAATTAAATGAAACAAAAATATAATAACATAAAACATCTAACATATTAAGACACAGGGAGTATTATGAGTTTGTAGTTATCAATATTAACTCAAATAAACTAATTAATAACTAAAATATGCAATTTATGAAAAATATACATATAATTATTTTTCATACCTCTAACTATCCTCTTTTGGGTGACTAATTACATTGTATTTGGCCTAAATAATGAATAACGCCAAAA